CACACACACACACACACACACACACACACACACACACACACACACACACACACACACACACACACACACACACACATAAACACACATAAACACACACACATGCAAAAACACCTGTGAGGTCGGTTGTTGGTATCATGTCGAGGAGAGACGAGCTTTGGAAACTGAACATGCAGATGGAAGCGCCAATTCCCCGAGCGTCTGCGAAGCAGAGTATGTGTTTGTGTACGCGTGTGGCGTTTTTTGTTGTTGTTGTCAGGGTGGCCTGTAGTCAATACACAACCCTCCCCTCCACCAACGCGAACAAACACACACACACACACACACATGTGAGAACACGCACCGACATGAAACGGGATGCAGCCGTTGCTGGGATATTTGTTGAGCTGGGATCCGTCTGGAAACTCCCGCAAGCAGCCCTGATCTACCGCCCTGCAAAGTGACGCAGCAACGACGCAAAAAGTAACACGACTTGAGATGGAAGCAGTGACAGTACAAGCCCATGCAAGCTGCAGCCTAACGCTCGCGCTTGTGACCAAGCAAGGCAGACCTTTGAATGACGCGGTGTGTCACCGGCAAGGTCTTGAGTGTGCGCCTGCGGCAGTGCACGAGCGTGAGCGATAAACCATGCATGCAAACCAGAAAGGGTGGCGAACGTTGCTGTGGACACATGCGGGTGATGCAGGTGGATGGGCAAGGGCGCTGTTGGAAACACATGTGCAACACCGCGTCAACCGCACCCGAGAAGGTTGGCCATCTTGCGTTTGACGTCTGCATCATCGCGCTCGCTGCTCCAGCGGTTTCTCGTCAACTCCGACAGCATGTCCTTTTCTAACCAGTGGTGTACTGTTAGACTGCGAAAACAGAACAAGCAGCAAATGCATGCTTGTGGGTGCATGCCAACGAAACACTCACAAAGAGAGAGAGGGGAGGGGAGGGAGGGAGAGAGACAGAGAGAGACAGAGAGAGAGAGACAGAGACAGACAGACAGAGAGAGATAGAGACAGAGAGAGACAGAGTGGGGGCACACAAACAAACAAAGAAACACACACACACACAAACAAACGAACAAACACACACAAACAAACGAACAAACACACACACACGCACACAAACAAACGAACGCACACACACACACACACAAACAAACACGTGCACTCACACAAACCTTCTTGTGGGGTGAAGAAATCTGGGTAGAGCTCCAGGCCATGTGGTACAGTTCCTTCACACACTATCGACGACAACAACCGCCTTCCAATACCAGCCCCAGTGGCAGCAGCAGCGGCCGAAACAGCGGACGCAGTGCCGTTCAGGCGAGCCACTCGCCCCAGAACGTTGCTGGTCATCTCTACCTTGACTGAATTCAGTGGTTTGAAATACTGAATTCAGTCGCCTGTGGCAACACACGCCAATACGACAAGCACTGCTGGCTGGTGGGCGGCCGTGTGTCATCAGCGTTGCTTGTCTCACATCGACACACACACACACACACGGACAAGAAGACAAGAGCACAAGAAGACAAGAAGACAAGAAGATCAAACACACATACACACACACACAAACACATCCACGCAGATGCAGCCAAAGTACTGCAGCGTTTGTGGGTCGACGTTGCAAGATGGCAAGGCGTGCCATGTGTGCGGGCACATCCTGACACCGGATGATCCGCCCGTGTACGAGTACGAGCTGCACCCGGGAAACAACCTGTTTCCTTGCTGGGGCCGCTGCATCACGGCCAAGGACCAGTCCGTGGTGTCGTTCACCTGGATGGCCTTCTTCGTCGTGTTTGGTGTCTTTCTGGGCCTCACTGCGCCCTATGTATGGACCCACCTCACACCGGCCCTCGTCATTGCGCCGTGCATCCTGGCCGTCTGGTCCGCCGCATCCTTGCTCATGACCCAGTGCACCGATCCGGGCATTGTCCCGCGCGGCGAGCAGTGCGAGATCCTCCAGCCCGACGAAGAGCTCATGGGGTGCGTGCAAGTGTGTGTGAGTGGGAGCGGGGGAGTGGATTGCTTTTGCGTGTGGAGTGTGTATGTGTGCAGCTGTTGTGGCGCTTCTCTTCTTGCGGGTGGTGTTGTGTTATGAGATTCTCACGCGCTAGGTTTGCAATGTCCAACGCCTTCAGCCACAAGAAGGTGAACGTCAACGGTGTTGAGGTCACCGTCAAGTACTGCAGCACCTGCCGCACGTTCAGAGCACCTCGCGTCTCCCACTGTCGCGCATGTAACAACTGCGTCGAAGGTAGGCGTGTGTGTGTGTGTGTGTGTGTGTGTGTGTGTGTACCTGTGTGTGTGTGTGTGTGTACCTGTGTGTGTGTGTGTGTGTGTGTGCGTGTGGGTGTGTCTGTGTGAGTGTGTGTGTATGTGTGTCTGTGTGTGTCTGTGTGTGTCTGTGTGAGTGTGGGTGTGTGTGGGTGGGTGGGTGTGTGGGTGTGTGGGTGTGGGTGTTCTTCGTCTTGGCTGCAGTGCAATTTTCTCGGATGCACAAGTCTTGCCTCACGAGCCGTTTCGTGCATGCATGTGTGGCTTCCCCCTCACCTCCTCGACACTTTCGCCAAAACAAGAATTCGATCACCACTGCCCGGTATGCATCATGATGTGGTTATTTGCCTCCCCCCCCCCCTCCTTCCTCCGTTTATTGTCCCGTTGACTGTCTTCGCCTTCATTGTTCCGCTGCCTCGCATCTCACCTGCCCAAAACACACACACACACACACACACACACACACACACACACACACACACACACACACACACACACACACACACACACACACACACACACACACACACGTGTGCACGTCCGCAGTGGGTAGGCAACTGCATCGGCGCAAGAAACTACAGGTGGTGCTCGTGTCATCTGCCAACGCCAGACTGCGCTTCGACCATCGTCTTTTGGTTCCCTTCCTTGCCTCTCCACCAACACACACACACACACGTACACACACACACACACACACGCACGCACGCACACACACACACGTCCACGCTGCAGATATTTCTTCAGCTTTGTTTGGACGATGCTGCTGCTGCTGGGTACTGTCTGCGCCGCCTGCATCTGGCACCTCATTGACGTCTCAAAGGTGAAAGGCTCCAACGTGCTTGTGTGTGTATGTGTGTGTGTGCGTGTGTGTGTGATGATGATGATGATGATGATGATGATGATGATGATGATGATGATGATGATGATGATGATGATGATGATGATGATTTGTAACTTCCCCGTCATTCACTCGAAACCGCCATGTCCCCTTTCAAGTCCCACTCGCTCACGCTGCCTCACTCACTCACGCTCTCTGCCATCCTCTCACCTGCACCCCTCTCCCTGCCAACGAACAAGAACGACAAGTCTGCTTTCGTGCAGGCGCCGGCGTCCGTCTTTGTTGCCATCTTCACCGGAATGTTTCTCCTGTCCGTGTCCTCCCTCGCCTTCTACCACCTTTCCCTCGTCATCCGCAACGTCACCACAAACGAAGACATCCGCTCCCGCTTCACCCGTAATCCCCACGCGCGCAACTGCTGGCTGAACGTGTGTTCGCGGCTGTGCGGCCCGCGTATGCCCTCGCGCCTCTTCCTGCGACGTCGTCTGGACCCGTCCCTCGCCCCGTTCAACCGGCCCTTCTGTGAGTCGTGTGTGTGTGAGTCGTGTGTGTGTGTGCCTGTGCGTCTGTGTGTGTCTGTATCTGTGTGTCTGTGTGTCTGTGTGTCTGTGTGTCTGTGTGTCTGTGTGTGTGTGTGCTGACACCTCACTTGTTTGTTCTGCTTTTAGTCTCAGCTCCCAGTACTTGGAGGTTTCCACCCTCATGTGCAACGATACACACACACACACACTTCACACGCTATTGCTCATGCATGCCCCTCCTCTGTGCCTCACACCGCGTTTCGTCTTCCCCCACTCCCTCAAAGTGCCGCCGCCCCAGCCGAATACGCAGAGCACCGTCGCCGCAGCGCCCGCACACGGCTTCACCCTCCACGATCCACCAATCAGCAACCCAGCCAACACGACCACGACCACCACTAACAACACCGACGGGTCGATTGTGTCGTCGCTTCGCTCGCACACGACGGCAACATCGCCAACGCCCTCAACACCGCTGCAGGCTGGTATTGCACACCCGCACCCGCGCCACGTGGACGTGTCGCCAGCACCGCAGGGCACACACGCGCACGTGTCTGGCCAGGCTGGGGAGTTGCTTGCAAGCATTCCCAGCGTCGGGGAAGCCATCACGCTCAGCGAGCACGATGACGACGACGATGACGATGACGACGTTCGTAATGATGGTGAGGAGAAGGGGAAGGTGGACGCAGAAAGGAGACGACAGCTTGAAGCAACACAGCAGCAAGCGATGGGCAGGGTGCACTCGACACACAGCGCCAGCAGCCCGGCAACCGGCACGCCCTCGCTGCGACCAGCGACGAGCAGCGCCACGGGCGGCGTAGTGGACAGCAGTTACAGCAACGGCGGGGCTGTGGTGGCGGTTGTGGATGACGTGCGCAGCGACGATGAGGACGTGTCATCACCGCTGTTGCTCGAGCATCCAGATGATGCGGCGTGATGTGTGCGGTGCAGTGTGTAAGTTTGGTGCGTGGGGTGTGATTTCGAGGCAGCACACATGTCGTGTTGAAAAGAGAGAGAGAGAGAGAGAGAGAGAGAGAGAGAGAGAGAGAGAGAGAGAGAGAGAGAGAGAGAGAGAGAGAGAGAGAGAGAGAGCGTGGTTGTATGCAACATGGAGGGTGGGCGTGTTGTGACGAGGGAATACTTTCCTTTGCTTGATTGATCTGTTCACCTGATTGATCTGTTCACCTGTTTCTTGCTTTTGTTCTGCTGAATTAGGGGTTGTGTTCACTCGCTGGTTCTGTTCTTCTTCAGGTCGTTCTTTGTTCTTGGCCCTTTTTTCTTTCTCTTTGTTATCTTTTGCACACCACTCGGTGAATAGAGATGCCGTTGATCTCAAGTGAACAGACACTGCTTGATAGCAGAGGGGGAGGTAGTGGGGTGGAGTGCAGCGAGCGAGCAAACACGCACCCCTAGTTCACACATTTGCCTGATGACTGAATTCAGTCCCACAACTGAAGAAAGGAAGGACAGCAACAAAGCAACGCAAAAGCTGGGGTGTCCTGTTGTCGTTGTTGTGTGTGTGTGTTACACACAGACACACATTTATCCCAGACCACCATACACAGCACACACGTCTCGACATCCTTCCTTCCTTACTCCCTCCTTCCACGTGGGCAACAAGCAATGCAAGAGGCACTCGATCGCCTTCGCGACGGCCTGCACGATGACCGCGAAAACGCCGTCAAGGTACCGTTGCGACAGAAACTGTAGGGCGGTGCATAGATGCACGCGTGCACTGGCGTTGGGGGTACATCCGGACAGAACACAGTCAGCCACGCTGTTCATGATGACTTGTGCGCAAGTGTGGTTGACATTGCTTGGATGAGGATTCCTACTGCCTGATGTGTTGTTGTTGCCTCGCGGCTCACACTGCTCTCTTGCCTGTGTTGGATGGAGCACAGGCTGTGGCGGAAACACTCACCGACCGCGGAGCCGCCAGCTTAGTCCTTGCGGCTGCCGCGAAACGTTCGTGCTGCAGTTTGTGTGTCCGTCTGTGTATGTCTGCGTGTGTGCTTTAGTGTGTCTCAGTGTGTGTATGTGTGTGTATGTCTGCGTGTGTGCTTCAGTATGCGTCAGTGTGCACATGTGCGTACATTGTCACGCTACAGAGTGTGTGTGTACTCATGTGCTTTATGATGACGCTGTTTTCTGCTGCAACGCTGATGGGTGCCGGCGTGCCTGATCTGCTGATTGCATCACAGCGACAAACCTCCGCCAGGCTGTGGCAGACGTCGTCGTCTTGCTGACAGAGTAAGCGTTGCACGCACGATGGCGGGTGGTGCGTGCGAACACATGCCTTTGTGTGCTCTGACACGTCACGGATCACCACTGCTGCCTTTTGTTCAGGAATTCCACTGCAGACGCGACGAGTCTGCTCGATGCAATTGATCTGGTGCTTCTGGATCAGAGCGAAGACGTCGCCGTTATCGGTACATGCACAGAGCGAGATGGGGATAACGTGTGTGTGTGTGTGTGTGTGTGTGTGTGTGTGTGTGTGCGTGTGTGTGAGTGAGTGAGTGAGTGAGAGAAAGAGAGAGAGTGTGTGTGTGTGTGTGTGAATGATAACGACAGAGTCAGAAGGAACAGAGAGAGAACGGGGGTGGGTGGGACATGCGCGTTGCTGTTGTACCCTTTCACGGTACGATGGGTTGCCTTTTACCGATACCTTCTGCTGTGCCGTGTCAATGTACGACATGTAATTGCAGCTGTCAAGATGATGAACAACTTGGTGAAGAAGGATCATGCATC